TTGGTTACAAAGTAAGGCCTTTTCACAAGAAATGAGAAATATTAAACGTAGCTACACCTGTTCCAGGGTTATGACCAAGGTTAACATTTTATAATATGGGACAAACTCCGTTTCAAGGTCAAAGGGTCAGGGTTGTTGGTTTCTAAAGAAAGGCAGTGTCTCAAAGATTAAGTATGGGTAGCATGAAAGCGCTGGCCCTTACCGTTCAAAAGTTATGGTCAAAGTTAAAAATTGTAAAAAGTAATTCAAACTCCAAGATCAAGGTCAAAGGGTCAAGATTCTTGATATCCAATGAAAGGTATTGTCACAAGTACAGTATTACACATGTGAAATATGAAAGCTCTAGCCCCTACTGTTCAAAACTTATGGTCAAGGTTAATGTTTGTAAAAAGTAAGTCAAACTCCAAGGTCAAGGTCAAAGCGTCAAAGTTCTTGATATCAAATGAAAGGTCTTGCAACAAAGATTAAATTTGCGAAGTATGAATGCCCTAGCCCGAACCCTTCAAAAATTATGGTCAATGTTGTATTTTTAAAGTAGGTCAAACTCCAAGGTCAAGGTCAATGGGTCAAGGTTCTTGGTATCCAATAAAAGATATTTTCATCAGAATTATATATGTGAAGTATGAAAGTCGTAGTACTTATTGTTCAAAAGTTATAGCCAAGGTTAAATTTTTTCATAGGTACGGAAATCTCAAAAGTCAAGGTCAAAAGGTTAAGGATGTTGGTATCCAATGAAAGGTCTTACCACAGAAAATACATACGTGAACCATAAATGTCCTGGTATCTATTGTTAAAAGATATGGCCAAAATAAAAGTTCAAAAGTTTTGTGTTAAAGTGGGTTAAACTCCAAGGTCAAGGTCAAAAGGTCAAATTTGGTAATACCCAAAGAAAGGTCTTGTCACAAGAAATACACATGTGATATATGAATGTCATAGCTCCACTAAATCAAACGTTATAGGCAAGGTTAAAGTTTTTGCGGACAAACAGACAAACAGGGAGACAGACAGACGGACGGACACGACAAAAACTATATGCCCCCGAAACTTCGTTTACGGGGGCATGAAAATAGTTTATTATGAATATTTAACTAAAGGTCTACCAAAAATAAGGGTAAACGTTAGAGACTGTGCTTTTGACATAACACGTGTACACAAAGGCTGGTTTTCTACAGGAATATTCTTTATATGTGTACAGGTTAAATCGGTAGCCAATTCAATTCTTTTTTTGGCGTGTATATGGGAGCTTGCATATTACCCATGCTATTTAAACATTGTTAAGTGTTAAAAATGCGTCGAGGATTTCCTTTTGTCATTAATTTTTACAATCGGAGGCGAATTCGTTATATCCACATTATATTATGCTATTATCTACCTCCCAAATGTAATTTCCATCATGGAAATGAATTTTTTGACTACGGACAAAACAATTCCAATAAAAAATATTCCTAGATAGTTCTAAGATAGTTCAATAATTTCTGGAGACAGTTAGTTACAGGGTTGAATAAAAAGAAATTCATACTGATTTTAAAATTGTAATGAGACGAAATCATTAAAGGAAATCCTTCACACAAAGATTATTCTGTTAAGCATGAGATGTGTCCAATTTTAAAAAGAAAGAAAAAGAAATGTTCATTACACCATAAAAATGCAAACTCGGGTTTGACTAACCGATTCGTTAAGGTTTTTATAGATGCTACTTCTTTTTAATAACAGAACTAGGATATTATAGTTTCTCCGCAGCACTGTTAAGGCCTACTATGAGAAATCAACGAAAATTAGACGTGCAAAAGAGGGGGGATATTTTTAAAACTGAATTTATTTTAATTAAGTTGTTTTATTATCACAGAACTTAAATACTTAGAGAAATATCATAGTATAACCTACTCTGTACTGTATGAAGTTTTGTCCCACCGAAGGACAGTCACGTGATGAATGCAGAGTTTGTGTACAGAATGCAGGTCATTAACAAATTTCAAATTCAAGCCATTAATTGTTTTTGCATACTTTGTTGTTTCTGAAAAGTGCTGCTGCTTTGAATAAAATTCATGTTTTAATAGTTAAATTTTCAGGTAAATAAGCCAAAGTCGAAGTATATTTGTGTAACGTGACCCGATCTTGGGTATTACAAAAATTATGTGAGTCCTCTTATTCCTGTGATTTACCTTAATTAATCAACAAGATTTGTTTATCTATAAAAATGAATTTATTCAAACAATAACAATAATGATTTATGATTAATTAAATACAAACAGAGTATACTTATGGATAATGGGACAGGATATATAATGGTCAGCTGAATGGGTTCCTCAATATCAACAATGGGATAGTACGTTCAGCTGATTCATGTTGGGTCAGGATGTAGGCCCTATAATAATTAGGTAGATTGGGTTACCCAATATTGGTAAATTTACCCAATGTGAATGCCTCAGTTTTAACCCAATGATGAGGAGTTGGGACTCTGAGTTGGTCAGATGTTAAAGGGGCTGACCAACCTCCCAGACTGAAGAAAAACTCTAAAGTGCCTTCTTTATATACCTTTTGGTATTCCGGTGCGAATTAGTTCACGCGCGAATAACAAGCGGTGCCTGCAGTATTCGCGCGACGTTTGTATGGTAACTGTTGCGCTTGGTCAGTTCAGAAATTCACACCGTCATGTAGTAACATTTTATTGTTTCGACCTGTTAATGGATAGATATCTATTACAATAAATAACAGTTTGTTGATAATTATACAATTCTCATTATTATTAACAGTCATGTTTTAAATATTAAAAAACTCACACATTGACGGGCTAAATACATGACATTGTTTCGCCGTTGAGGAGTCCGTATATCTCAAACCGAATATTACTTACGAAATAATAAAGTCCGAAACGATACGGACGGAATGTACAATTCCGAAACGTACACTCCCCCACCATTTGTCCGGGGATATAAAAAGTTCACATGTTCACAGTTTACATTTACACCTGTTCTTCAACTGGAAGAATCGCAACTAATCGTCGAACTGATCTGCAAACCACCGTATCTGGACAACCACAATATTTAGGATCTTGGTTCAGATTTTTGTATCTAAGTTTTACATCCCGAACTTTTCCATCACTTCCTGGGTTTGCCTCCGAAACTTGTGCCAGTTTCCATTGACCACGCACATTATTTGAATCTTGAACAAGTACAATGTCACCATTTTGAATGTTTCTCCTTTCATGATGCCATTTCTGTCTTATAATAAGGGTATGAAAGAAATCTCGTGTCCATCTTCTCCAAAATGTATTCACCATATGCTGAACAAATTTCCATCTTATTCTGGGGTCCTTGCAATCATCCCAGTCACCTACAGGGACTCTGGTGCTTGCCCGACCTAACAATAGATCGTTCGGACAAAAATATGTACCTTCAGTAGGGTCGCAATTTTTTGTACCAATGGGACGTTCATTTAGTAGATTGGAAACTTCAAAGAGAACAGTCTGTAACTCTGAAAATGTCATAATTGCTGATCCAATAGCAGTCTCAAGAGAAAGTTTTGTTGAACGAATAAGCGACTCGCTGCAACCATTTTCCCAGGGTGCGTCCGCTGATTTTGTTGTCTGCCAATCCATGCCTCTAGCTTTCCCAAAATTCTTGATATCTTCCCAATCCCAAGTATGTACAACTTTCTGTAATTCTTTCCCGGCAGCAATTAGTTGAGTACCTGCATCAGAAATCATTTTTCTGGGATATCCTCTGATGGAAACAAAACGTCGTAGTACCATAAGGAAACTGCCCATGTCATATCCTTCTGCTACATCAATATATACTGCTCTTGAAACTAAGCAATTAAACAAGACACCATAACCTTTCCCATGGGTCCTCTTCTTATCTGCGTCCTTGATTACAAGAGGTCCAAACAAATCAACAGCACACATGTAGAAGGGAGGGGTCGGTTTAAGTCTTGTCTTTGGCATTGGACCCATCTGTTGACCTTGCATTGAATTGAATTTTCTTCTACATATTACACACCTAAATTTAATTCTGCTTATAATGTTTTTTACTTTAGGCATCCAAAATCTGCTACGGATCTTTGCTAGAGTAACGTCAATCCCTGCATGATCTTCATCGTGTATTGCTTTCACTACATATTCTGTAAATACGTGATTTGTAGGAAGAAGTGCAAATGTGGACTGATTCCAGGTATCTTCAAACCATTTACTCATTCTTTGTCCAACTGTAATAATTCCATCCTTTGTTCGTTCAGGGCCAAGACGTCGAAACCTCTGCATAACATTGTTTGGTAGGTCCATTTGAGCATGTAAAATTCAAGCCTTTTCAGCCTCTCTTATAACTTCAGCTGTCACATTTTTAAGAATTTTCTTGCATGAGTGCGCCTTGAATATAAGTTGCAAAATACCAGTGAGTTTACAGCTTATTCAAGGATGAGATTCTCGTGGTGTCCAGCAATTCCAGTATCCGAGTTGAGGATTCCTTTGGCTTCACTTCAATATTTTCTGTCAACAAACTGTGCACCAATGAATCCGGAATTTCATAAACATCAACAGTTTGTTTCATTGGCCACTGTTCAATAGGATAGTGTAAGAATTCTGGTCCTTTCTGCCACCTTGAATCATTGTTTAATATGCTGGGATGTGTAATCCTTGTTGTAAGATTCGCAGGATTTTGATCAAAAGGAATCCAAAACCATTCAGCCTTTTGTGTCTTTGATTGAATCTCGGCTATCCTATTGGCGACAAATGTACCAAAACCGTAACTTTTCTTTTGAATTTAGGCACGGACATTTGCAGAATCAGTAAGATGAATTACACTCTGAAATGTAAAAGTCATGCTTTCCACAATTTTTCCCTTATTCTAGCTGACAGCACAGCACCGCAAAGCTCAAGCCTTGGAATGGAAAGTTGCTTAACTGGCGCAATCCGATTTTTTGCAAAAATTAATCTGACGTCATAAGTGTCCCAAGCAGTCTCCCATCTTATGTACGCACACGCTCCAAAAGCAAGATTGCTGCCGTCAGAAAAAAAGCACCAAGACCGGATTTCCAAAGACATTAGTTGGTTTTAAACATCTGGGAATACACAGGGATTCTAACTGAAAGAGTCCATTGAAAAATTCTATCCATTGTTGTCTCATTTCTGAGGATAAAGGTTTATCCCACACTTCAGACTTACTCTGGTTTCCTTGGCATAAATTTCTTATGAGAGATTTTGCACTAAGAGTGTAAGGAACGATCAGACCTAAAGGGTCATACACTCCTGCAACTTGGCTGAATACCATTCTTCTTGTCAAAATTTCAGGAATTTCCTCCGACTTATTGGTTGATTTCTCTTCATGGCTTTTATGCTTTGTTTTCCTGGAGAAGTTCAATCGCACTTTAAATGTAAATACATCATCAACAGGTTTCCACACTAGTCCCAACACATTTTCTGATTCTGTATTCATTATGTTGATTTCATCAATTTCCTGATGATTGTCTCCTGATATAATCCAATGCTTTATATGAAAGCCACCAAAGTCCAATACTTGATTGATATCCTTAGCCAATACATTTTCAAATGTGGAATCTGATGCTAAAATGTCATCAACATACAGTGCAGAGAAATAATTTTGTTACAGCATCAATGCTGATTTTGGTGCTTCCTATGCTTGCTGATTTTGATGCTTCCTTTGCTTGCTGATTTTGATGCTAGTTATCCTTATCCTGATCCTGGTTTGATCCTTATCCTGATGCTGGTTGAAACTAGGTCAATGCTAGTAATGCTACCGGAAGAAGGATTATCCTGCCGGAAGTGGATAATTCAAAAACAGCATCGCTATTTTAAGCCATTAAAAATAATTTTTGGGGTAATTTCTATTTGTAATTTGTATTAAATGACTTTCCTTTATCTGTTTTCACTTTGGTCAATGCTAGTTCTATCCTTTGCTTGCTGATGCTGATCCATGTAATGCTGTTTTTTTAAATGCTGATGCTGATGCTAGTTCTATCCTGATCCTACTTATGCTGATCCTGATGCTGGTTTATGTAACAAAATTAGTTCCCTGCACTGTAGCTGTTGTTTTTTTATAACACTAGCAGCCTTTGGGTAAACATCTTCCAGCATTTCAGCTGTTTTATTGAGAGCTATAATAGCTATAGCACCACTGGGGCGATCTCCAAATGGAACACTGGTCAGCACATAATGATCTGGTGGTCTGTCAATGTCACAATTTCTCCATAAAAATCTGTGTGTATGCTGATCTTCTATGGAAAGATGAGTTATACATTTTGGAGATATCGCCTACAAGACCAACCTGATTTTCTCGAAACTTCAACAAGATGGAAAGAAGGTCATTTAAAACTTTTGGTCCTTTAGCCCAGTAGTCATTAATAACATGACCCATATAGGAAGCAGAAGAGTTGAACACAATTCGAAGTGGTGTGGATGATGATTCTGGTTTTAAAACCTCATGATGTGGAAGATAGTGCACAGGTCCTTTGTATGAAGTAACTTCCACTGGTGATAATTTTCTAGTAGCCTTTCTCTGCACCATGTCATCTATCTGTTTTTGATATTCCTGAGTGTGTTCATCGCCAGTTTTTTTCAGTCGTTGTTCCGTTGACCGTAAACGGCCTATAGCAGCTTGTATGTTATTAGGCAGTTCTGAAGGATTCCGTTTCCATGGGTAATTTATGGTCCAGCATTTGTTGGCATCATCATGCTTTAATCCAGTCTCAATCATGTTCAGTTCATGCTCCTCTTCAATGGTGTAATGTCCTGAACCAACAACACAATGTCCACATCGACACCCTCCACATCTTGGTTGACAGTAGGTTCCTAAGCTTTCAATGTCTAGAAAACTATCAAACTGATCTTTTAGCGATTTAGTATTCATGATATGCATGGAATTTAATTCACTTCCCGACAAATGATTGATACAAAACGAGTTTGGCATTGCGGATATTTTAATCAGAGAATGACTTCCCCTCACACAATAACCAAATTGATTTTTCATCAGTTGAAGATTCCCGACGCCGTCAACTCTTGTGGGTAAAAGAACGCTACAGTCTGATCCAATCAGTAAATTAACCTCTCCACATGGTCTGTAGATATCAGAGTCTGTAATTCCATTAAATAATTGTGCTATTCCACTAACATCTACCTTGCCTGCATTTGTTGTAATTTGCTCCATACCGTATCCCTTAATTTGCCAGGTATTGCCATCCTTGTCTGTCAAGGGGATTATATATTCTTTGCTATGTAGTTGTTCCATAACATTTCCCACCTTCGTGAAACTGAGGGTTACATCTTTTCCTTGTAAATTAAGTTTCCTTGCTGCACGATGTGAAATTAAAGAAATATTTGATCCTGGATCCCACAAAGTTGATAGCAAAATATCCTTACACTTAACTTCACTGATTATAAGTAGGACATCTTCTCCAGGTTCTTTGCTATTAACAATTCTCACAATGTTAGCAACATTTCCCTCTTGACCTTCTTGATGCAGTGACGAGTGATGTAATTTTCCACAATGTTCACATCCTTTCTTTTGAGGACAGTATTTCGAGATATGTCCTGTTTTTAGACAAATAAAACAGCCTCGATTTTTTCTGAGTAAGTCCATTTTAGCACCAACGTCCTTTCCATTGAAATTCCAACACTGAGAAATATCATGTGTATCACTGTTATGGTACCAGCAACTCCTTTGTGATGGCGAGGGTCGACTAAATTTTGGTAGATTTTGATTTGTTTGATGTCCTTGACGAACAATTTCATTGATTGATGCTTGCAACCTTTTGGAGGCTTCGTCTACAACCTTTTGGAGGACTTCTTGATTGTGCTTCATCTGAACACTTAGTTGATCAACTGGAGAATGTAAATTTGTCTCTGCTACATCGTTCAATCACTTCTACACTATTTATAAAGCTGATATGGTCCCCATCGGCTATGACCTTGAGCTTCTGGATGTCACTCAAAATTGAATCTGTTAGTTTCTCTGGTCTGCCGTACTTTAACTGCAGTCTGTGCCACATTTCTTCGTAATCATTATCCACTCCTTGAATGACTTTTAATGCCTCTCCGTGTAAGCACTTTTTCAGAGCAAATGGGTCTAAGCCATACGATTGTACCATAATAGATTCATAGTCTCTTTTGAAATTTGGGTATTCCCGTATTGCACCGCTAAATGAAGGTGCATCAAGTTTTTTAACTTTAACTGTTTCCTTTTTTGTTTTTGTCTCTAATTCCTTTTGTTTAATCTTTTCTGCTAATCTTGTCACATGTAAACGGCACTCACATAATTCACTGTACATTTTGTCCATGTCTTTATCAACATTTTCATGTTCACTTGCTTGTAATTCATTTTCTAGATCTAAAAGTTTTATATATTCTGCATGACTTCTTTCTAAATCATTATAGGACTTTTCTAGATCACTAAGAATATTTTGTAGTACACCATGGTCCTCCATATAACCTAATTCTCTAAATCTGTTGTATATTCTGTGAAACTTGCCCTTTTGCGTTAAACGTCGACGCTTCTTGCCCTGTAGCTCAGGATCTTTCGACTCTTCGGGTGGCGGCATGTTCCCTCTGTGTCGAAATGTTGCGCTTGGTCAGTTCAGAAATTCACACCGTCATGTAGTAACATTTTATTGTTTCGACCTGTTAATGGATAGATATCTATTACAATAAATAACAGTTTGTTGATAATTATACAATTCTCATTATTATTAACAGTCATGTTTTAAATACTAAATAACTCACACATTGACGGGCTAAATACATGACATTGTTTCGCCGTTGAGGAGTCCGTGCATCTCAAACCGGATATTACTTACGAAATAATAAAGTCCGAAACGATAAGGACGGAATGTGCAATTCCGAAACGTACAGTAACACTAACAACTTTTTCATCAAGTAAAGGCTTTATCATTACAAATGCGGGAAAAGGGATGATTTGTTGTTTGGGAATTGTTTTGGTAACGATGCCAAGTTGGATTTGGGTACCTTGGTCGAATAACAATGCCAGGCGGTCATTTGTCATTACGATCTGTGGAGGAAATTCGGGTTTGTTCAATAAAACCAAACGATATTCATGAAATAAACATAGACAATCAATTATAAAGCATACATTAATGACATACGATGATTGGTAATATTCCCATGATATCTACAAATAAAATTACGATACGTAGATTAAATATTCAGGGCATAATTGGGGTGATCCAAGCTGTGGGTAATTTTAGTCATGGGGAAAATCCGTAACATAGCTCCCCCTCCATGAAAACATTCGTCCCGAATGTTGGATCGCTTTATCATATATCATTTTTGGGATTATATTTCATGGGAATATTGTCATGGAGTAACATTTTCTATAAACACAATTATGGGCCACAATAATACATGAATATCAATACTTACAATGTGGTCAACAAGTTATGATCAAAGGCATGTATAACAGTAATATGAATAAAAGTTCATCAATCATCAACACATTAACTTTTACCATAATGTTTTTGTTCATCACAGTTCATCTTTACTTCCTGGATCCACTGGAATAGTAAATCACAACGTAGACGGATCACTAATCTCCACACAACGAGTGTTCAACTTCAAATATTTACATTCACCATAGGGCTCACAAAGTTATATAATATAGTCCTCTGAAATATCCAAAAGGTCCAGCACATGTCCGTTTACTATGAATCAAGCATCATTGGGAAATGTCCAAGTCAACGTCCGGAAGTACATCACACGGCTTGGAAGGCTCCGTCAAGGCAAGGTATGATCTAGGGATGGTTCGGTTAGGTGATGGGTACATGTATGATATAGCTGACTCTTCTGCAACATTTTGTAATCCTTCGTCGTTGGGATAGGACAAGGTTGGGGAACTTGTTATGGCTCTTAGGAGTTTGTCAAAAGCTTCATGGCAATTTTCGTTCAAATGTAACTCTTGCTTTGGTTCATTTATCATTTCTTTGGGGACTTTCTCTCTATTAATACATTGCAAGTGGTCAGGAAATTGGGGGTTGAGCTCTTGGCTAAAAGCATTTATGGTATGGGTATCAGTTGGGTCTTCCAATGCATTTAATATTTTGTCAATACATTTGACTGTGGCACTTTGGGTATTTTCATATACTTTGCTACTTTCATCATTCACATTCATGTGACAAACTGTGACTTCTCTGTCTACAGTTTCAGGGGGAATCAACAAATCATTTTTCTCAACAAAACTTGGGATAGGTTCTATTTTTCCAACCTCATCCTTAAATAAAGGGTTATCTACTTTGCAGGAGCAACATAATCACATTGGGGAGGATTTCCAATATCCTCGGCAAGACTTATCTTGCCACAAAACACAATTTTTACACAAAATTTACTAAAGCAGGGATTGTCTAGACCCTGTACTTTTAGTTTTATATTTTTCACAAAAAGGTCACATGAATTCTGAGTCATAAAATCTAGTCCCAATATGCATGGGCTTTGTATGTCGGCCACAAGTACTTTATGGGTAACTTGAAAATTCTCAAGGGTTATTTTGATTGGGCATTCTCCCTTAACTGGGATGCATTACCACTTGCAGATGTAAGTTTGATAGATACTGGGGTAATTTGGGGCTTTTCCTCAGTATCTAAATTTTCAAAGAATTGGGTGCTGACAATAGTCACACTAGCACCCGTATCTACTAATATATTTGTTCCTTTATTTCCAATTTTTCCAATAACATAAATTCCATCATTTCCCCCGTTTATATCTCTCACTAAAATATCTTTGGGGATAGGTTCAGTACAACGAGGGATTTCTTTCTTGGACTCAAATTCTGTTTTATTTTCAATATTGGGTTTGGGTTTTAGTGAGAGAGGTTGAGCCATATTTAATGGCGAATGTTGTTGGGGCCTGCCCCTTGAACCTGTCGACTTCCGACCCCCGAATTCGACTCTGGGTAGTTTCCCTGTTTTTGAGATTGGAAATAACTTTGACTTTGGTTCTTTGGGTAATTTTTCCAATTGTTGGAATTTCCTTGGTAGGGTGAACCTTGGGGTCTTGGTCCATAATTTGTTGGTCTATTGTTTTGATAGTCGGGTCTGACTGAGTTTTCATATGAGCCCATATTTGAAAAATTCTGATAGAGGGTTTGGTATGAGTTCTCATATACATGATAATGTGCATATGGGGTTTCTGCCATATTTTGGGTAGGCATTTGACAATTTCTTACTAGAGCTCTGATTTCTGAGGTAAGGGATTGGATATCATCCCGCAAGTTTTGAATGGGTTCTGTTTTGTTAATGGCATGAACAGTTTTATTTCGTTGGGCGTCTGCCAATCGATATGTTTCTAACCGAATGGCCAAAATTTCAGCTTCATTTACGTCTTTGGGTTTAGCTTCCCTTAGCCTTAATCGCATATCTGGGTCTGGTAGGGTATCAATAAATTGATCAAGGGCCAGAATGCTGATAATGGTTGGGTCAGCTGTTGGGTAAGCTTGACGAGTTAGCTTTTTAATGGACTGGGCCAGTTCGGGTAAGGATTCAGTTGCACCCCTAGTTTTGGTTTTGAGTTGGGCACGGTACATTTCAGATCTCTCAACAGAGCCATATCTCCTATTTAGAATTTTCACAAGGGAGTTAAAATCTCTTCTCTGGATTTCATTCAGTTCACTCAATAGGGCACGGGCACTACCCGTAAGGCTAATGGCGAGATACATTGATTTTGTTTTATAGTCCCACCCATGCAAGTCAACTAAAATTTCAAACTGGGCGAGGTACTCATCAAAGTCCTCTGATCCATCAAAGGTTTGGGGCTTTATGGTAACATGGGTTTTGGGTGCAGATGGGAGAGACATTCCGTTTTCATTTCTATTAATTTCAAGTAAAAGGGAATAATGGGTACCCGACATTGTTCTTGGGAGAGGAGTATATTCCCATTGCCCATTTGTTGGGTCTGTATGAATATAGGGATGGAAATCATCATAAGAGTGATCTGGGTGAATGGGTCTCGATATTGAGACAGTGGGTGTGTGATGATTGTCTCCCCTGTCATAGGTTGGGTTTTCAAATTTTCTTTCTAAATGATTAACATGATCTCTCAATTTATCATATTCATGTCTCATACCCAACAATTGTTGATTAACACTTTGTACCATAGACACTAATGTGTCCAATTGATTGTTCTTTGCAGGCGGTACTGAATCCGATGCCATTGGGGAAGATTGGAGATTGGGAGCGGGTAAATTATGATCCCGATTATCTTCCACAGCATTGGACGAGGATGGGCGTGATTTGAAAGTGACTTCTGAATCAAAACTTCCTTCAGTTTCCATTGTAATTATTGGGTACAAAAATTGATTGGGTCAATAAAAATATACAAAAATTTAAAAATTCTTTTGTCTTTATAATAGAAAAAATTTGTTAAACAGAAATAAGCAAATGGATATCCCACTTCTGACACCAATTTGTAACGTGACCCGATCTTGGGTATTACAAAAATTATGTGAGTCCTCTTATTCCTGTGATTTACCTTAATTAATCAACAAGATTTGTTTATCTATAAACATGAATTTATTCAAACAATAACAATAATGATTTATGATTAATTAAATACAAACAGAGTATACTTATGGATAATGAGACAGGATATATAATGGTCAGCTGAATGGGTTCCTCAATATCAACAATGGGATAGTACGCTCAGCTGATTCAGGTTGGGTCAGAATGTAGGCCCTTTAATAATAAGGTAGATTGGGTTACCCAATATTGGTAAATTTACCCAATGTGAAGGCCTCACTTTTTACCCAATGATGGGGGGTTGGGACTCTGAGTTGGTCAGATGTTAAAGGGGCTGACCAACCTCCCAGACTGAAGAAAAACTCTAAAGTGCCTTCTTTATATACCTTTTGGTATTCCGGTGCGAATTAGTTCACGCGCGAATAACAAGCGGTACCTCACTACCTGCAGTATTCGCGCGACGTTTGTATGGTAACACTAACAACTTTTGCATCAAGTAAAGGCTTTATCATTACAAATGCGGGAAAAGGGATGATTTGTTGTGTGAGAATTGTTTTGGTAACGATGCCAAGTTGGATTTGGGTACCTTGGTCGAATAACAATGCCAGGCGGTCATTTGTCATTACGATCTGTGGAGGAATTCGGGTTTGTTCAATAAAACCAAACGATATTCATGAAATAAACATAAACAATCAATTATAAAGCATACATTAATGACATACGATGATTGGTAATATTCCCATGATATCTACAAATAAAATTACGATACGTAGATTAAATATTCAGGGCATAATTGGGGTGATCCAAGCTGTGGGTAATGTCGTGTAACCGAGTTAGTTAAGACAATAAATGAGGCTGGCGCCTTACCTTAAACAGGCGACAGCAAACAAGGTACATGGATAAATAGTAAAGGGGGTGAGTCCAGGTAACATCAATGGTAAACAAACAGGTATAACCGGAAACAGGTAAAGAGTGGTGTTCACGCTAAGGCATCAGGACCAGGACTGAAGCTTCAGTATTGGTAATACGGGGCATCACGTGACATACCCCGTATATGGAGAGGCCAGGGTCAGAGGTCATGACAATAGGGAGAATGTGACGATACGTAAACAAAGCAATTTCACCACATTCCTCCCCGTTTTATTTAACAGGTTTCCGTAATAATACTTATACATAAAATACGTTAATTATACTTTTAACATATTTGTAGATAATGACAATAAATACAATACTCTGCAATAATTTGACCGGAAAACAATCCAGATCTATAATTTTGCAGAAAATAAGCAAACAATATATTAAGACATTCCACATGAACTTAGTCGGAAGATAATCCAGACTTGTAATTCTGCAGGAATAGTCCCCTAAACATGTCATCTAAAACTTGTAGAGGCGACGACTGTTCTTAACGGTCTCTTTCAATATGTACTGTACGCTAACTTGTAGTTTTGATGCAACTTCGGTCGCGATGTCACCAATGAACGCTGGAGTGTTAACAGCTCCTCCTCCTGGTGTCATATATGGGGAATCTGTTTCCAGCAGCAAGCGACTCATTGGAACGGACTGAAAACCGGCAACTTGATCAGCACTAAAGTTCGTCACAGCACCTGTGAATCCGAAATAGACGTTAGAACAGCTATCCATCCACTCCTTGACTAACTCAGGGTCACCCGTGAAGCAGTGTAGATGTATAGGTTGGTCCGGATCACACGATTTCCTAAGTAATTGGATACAACGCGCGTGTACATCCATTCCAATCCTGTCCGCAGCAATCCCACGCAAGTGAAGGACGAGGACTTTATTCTTACGGGTCAACTTGAGCACTTGGCGGAAAACTTCATCTTGATGTCTCCACAGCTTCACAGGGACAGTTCTGTCTAATCCAATTTCACCCAACGCCACAACATATGGACTGTCTAACAAGTTCTTCATATGGAGGAATCTATTTGGTGTCAACTCATCAACATGCTTGGGATGAACTCCTAGAGCTATCCTCCAAGTACCATGCATATCCGCAAGTTTGGGGTGTGTTGATAGCTCACTATAGACAACTACTCCTCCTGAAACTGCAACGTCGAGGTTAGGACGAAGAGCGCTTGAATAGGAGTAAGATAGCAAATCCTCCACAGATTTCCCTGAAGAAGCTTTCCATATGCGGGAACAAGTCCGGTCAAGATGAAAATGACTGTCAAAAGCTTCTAACATGGAAGATGACTGAGAACTGCAAATCTCATGAACAATACATGGGTCACTCTGAGATACTGGTAGAGGTTCTCTGGAGATGTCCACATCAGACCCATAACAGACATCAATACACGTAAGTTCATCTTCCGTTGACGAGTCAACAACCGGAATTTGAATCTCCTCGGCATCTGGAGTACTAGTAATGCCCCCTGTAACACGTCCATGTGTACAAAATTCTTCGCGCTGCATGGGCTGCAAAGGTGACAAAAGTACTACCAAACACCTCCAGTGAAAAAGGGCTGCCGGTGAGTTAAGTGGCGCTAATGTGAAACCCTCAGGTGGCTCTAACCATCCTTGACATCTACACAATCTCTGCATATAGATGACGGTGTCAGGGTGAAGAGTTGTACCTCGGGTAAGCACTCCTGAGCGGTTCACATAATCCATAGCAGACAGTAAATCAGCATCATGTCCTAGAACGCTTCGTACCAAAGATTCCAACGCCAAGTACTGCAGCTGGGCCAAAGAGGACTGATCCAAGGAACGCAGTGGTCTTATGTCGCTGAAAATCTTAGGAAGGTGACTACGCTGGACATGACGCTTGATCTTCCTATCCCTATGTCCACAGTCTGGAAATGGGCATTTCTGTAGAGAAGGGTTGTCACTATGTAGAGCTACCGTCACACGAAGATTAGGGTCAAGTCTCGGTCGTTTGGCAGACTGTTCTGTTTCCTGGACTCTGCGTGTAGAAGATCTTCCAGATAATCTAACAGGAATAGTCTTTGGACGTTGAGTATACTCGACGACTGGCTCATGACGATCGTGATCCGCCGTGTCATGTGCTACTGATGACTCCGCCGCTTCATGCACTTCGGAGCACTCCTGATCCGCTGTGTCACGTGCTACGGATAATTCCGCCGCTTCATGCACTTCTGAATCGTTCTCTACACACTCCTCCTCCATCACTAAAGGCTTCTCCACAGTAGAAGGTTCAGAAGATTCCATAGCATTCTCTCGCACAACTCCAAGAACTGGGTTGGACAGTAATCTTATGTCAACACACATGGACGAAGAGTTGGCTGACGAAACAGTTGCTGATGGAAGTCTCCTTTCCTCAGTGGCTTGGATCTGCGAGATAGTGACGGAAGATTATCTTCAACCCACCTCTCTGAGCATAGGATGGTAACAGCTTCATGTCTTGTCGCCTCAATCCATTTATTGTCTCCTATATCCCGGGCCAATCGGTACTGGTCAACGATTACGTCGCAAATGGTCTGGTGAGAATTTCCATCACTCAACAGGGCTAGATCGTAAATTAACTTCTTTGGATCTACAGACTTCTTTTGGCGGTTTTCCTCCTCACAAAGTCGACGTAATGTTCTCCTCTGTTCTGACGAATTGTGGACTTTTCCGATTTCCACGATCTTTTGTAAGATGACATGATTGACACAAATATACTCAATAATATAAATACAATAATATAAGGGGATATAACATACAAAAAGACAAACAGACAGGGTGATCCAGAATGACTTTTATATATATAATATGAGCCGTTCCAAGCAAAAACCCCCCTTATGTAATCTGACAGAATTTTACGTCACAATAGAAAAAGCGACGTCATTGTTTTGCAACAAAAACATATCGCGCACTGACTGCGTCCCAACTACATGCTTTGTTTTACGTCACAGAATTTTCTCCGCTGTGCTTTCTGCATATTTTCTTTCATGACTACATGTGTATTGTCTATTTTATAACATAGTTGACTCTGATTGTTGTCAAACTACATATGTATTACACATTAAAACGGCCTACTAGTGTTCTGATTAAAAACATAAAATTTGTCAACTCTTCGACGTTTATTCTGTTCCATGCACAATATAAGTTTTCAGTTAAACTAAAAAAAAAACCACGCAACTGTTGTTTTAAATTCAGATTTACGACTCTTTCATATTCAATTACGACAAATTATATGCAATGATGATTTTGAGTGAAAAAAATATTTTTAAAAAGGAAGGAAGAGTAGTTTGAAATGTTTTTTAATCCGAAGTTTTGGCGAAAATCGATTGGACTTATATGTCAAGAAAACTACACAGGAATTAACACCAATCAAAACTGAATGACAGAATTGTTAAACCACAC